AGATACTTACCTCATCTGACGAATTTCCATCCACCTCAACAGAGCTGCCAGTTTTAGATTTTTCAATAACTGCCCTTTTTCTTAGAAGCAAAAGAGTTGCAAAGAAAGTCAAAAAATGGACCCAACGGAAAATTTTACCGAAATCTTAAGCTGGTTAGTTCTTCAAAAAATTCTGTGAAAAACCCGAAAATTGTTTCCCTCGTAAATACGAGCAGTTGACAAAATTTATAGAAGATTTAGTGGAAGAGTGCGACATAACAATTTGTTTTAAATTTAAAAAAAAACGAACGATGCTAATGCAGTGATGGATATATTATTCTAAATATATAGATATGTCCCGTATTCATGCATAATAGTATTTAGAATAAATATCTTGAGATTCAGAGCAAATTGAAGAAAGTTTACGCATTTTATCAGAACTAGATTACTTCAGGAACAGACAACAAGTCTACGACAATTACTAAGTACTCACATTAATCTCATTCGAAATCTATCCAGTGCACCGATGTATTGCTTCATAAATTAGCAGAATTTGCAAACCGATATACAAATTTAATAGTGCCTGAAATAATAAAATGGCCACAATTATTCGATGCGTCCTCTCAACTGCTGCTTGAATTTCTAACTATAGTTACTTAATTCAGATTACTAATGATCCAATCCGGTTTAGAACAAACGCACAACCATCTGTTTTAGACTTGATCACTCTTTCAGTTGAAAATCTAGTGTCTAATTTACAGTGGAGATACATTTGGTATCTTAGATCACTGTTTAAAGTTAATTACCAAATTTATTATAAAACAACAAAAAGAACAATTACTACTTTGAACTCAGTTGTAGACTATGAACAACTAAACCCTTGTTACCTTAGATAAACGAATTGAGCTTTGCTACTACTAAACAATACCAACCTAGATGACAACTAGAACAAATTTAACAAATAAAATTTATTTTAGAGCAATCTCCAAGGAAAATTATAAATTGATTATTTTAATTATTATAGACCTATATGTTTAACGGCTATAAGATAACCGAATCAGTTATATGTGGAACATTTAGCACGGAAATCTGTTATTCCTGAGGAACAGCACGAATTTATTTAAGAAAAATTTGTTTGATAATGTGCAGCCTATATTTTAACTTCCAAAAAGAATTTGATAAAGTGCTAATGAATGGTCTTCTACTGAAAATAGATTGGTACGGTGTCAGAGGTATGTTGTTAAAATGGATTGAGTAATTTCTGAAAAAATGCTGTTTCCCGGTCAAAATTGCATATGCTTTAAGTGTAATTGGAGTGAAGTGCCATAATGATCGGTCTTGGAGTCTTTTTTATTCAATGTATATGTAGCTGATTTGGGTGCAGGTCAACACATCTACTCTTTGTTGACAACTTGAACATTTATAATGTATTAATGAAAGCAAAAACATTATTTAGATGATAGTCAAATATAAATAACCGAGACGCAGATATATCTGGGTGTCCATATGACAGTAGGATTGACTTGGTCAAGTTATATTGAAAAATTATTCAAAAGGGCCAATAGTGTTTCACAAATCCAATTAATGTTAAATGTCGACTCATTGTGATGAAACTTTTTTAACAATGCATCGCGATAAGTTAATTTTAAGTGACACACTTTTTAATTTACATATGACTTGCACAAAGAGAAGCTAAACGTTCGCATTTTATCTTCTAAAAATGTTTTCTTTAACAAAGAAACGAGAAGTGTACCTTTATTTTTGTGAAAATACACAAAACCCATTTAAACTGCTTATGAGGGCAAATATTAATTTGTGTTTTGATGTTAAAATTCACTGCCATCAAGTTGTACAAAGGTAGCTATCCGAGATAACTGAATAATGTTTGTTGGTCTAAACTGATCACTGAAATTATTGGGTCTTTGGTGTTCATCTTTAAAAGTAATTAAATGTGTAAACTACTTCAGTGTGTATATAGATTACAAAGGGTCAGCTATGTTGATTTTATTTGTGTCGTGCAAATTCTGATACGATCTAAAATGAATATATAATGTTCAACCTCAGCTGTAGTAATCGTTAATGAAAGGAGAATTAATAGAAATGGCAGTTTGAGTTAAAGTTTTATTCGTTAAGCCGGATTATAGCATAATATAATTTGGCTTCCATTGCTTTGTAGTGAGCGATTCGTTCTGACTTATTTGTGGTACAAATACGCGTAACTCTTATGTATTCGTTTTCAAACGACAAAGTGGTCACGTATAGCGGAAAAATATAGCTACTTTGTAGATGCAACCTAGGAATAAACTCACCGTCAGATATCTACTTGTACGTGGCAGCATTTCGCTTTCAGAAATTCAAGTGACACCAAACGATGCATACACTAACAATTTATACATTCTTTCCTTGAAATCATGCAGAATACTAGTATAAACAAACACGATCCAAAATATACTGTATTTGGCATATTTTTGGGCATTTTTTTTAAACTTTATAGAATGATGAAGTAAATATTAAGCTAAGCGTCAATTTATATCACTATTCGGCAAACACGATGTTCTCCTGTCAGGTACACAGGCTGACATTCCAGTAAACTTTGTTAGTCCCCAAACACTTCGAAACTCAATTTGCTGTAAGATCCAAGATCCAGACCGTTGTTAGGAACCTCGATTCTATTTACAACAATTTCTTGGTGAAATTTCTCTCTCTGTGAATTTACTATTCAGGAATAAATCTCAGAAATTAGATGTTATAACTTGACGAATATAGCACGTGCTTAAGTTGAAGTTTTGTGCGAACAAGCAAAGTGAGGAGATAAACTTAACCGTCAGCGGATTGCAGTTTCTTGTGATATCTATACAGATGCCTTGATTTACTTATTAAAGCGTTGAAATGCCTATCGAAAACGAAAGTATATACAACTCAGTTTTAAAGTTGGTTTATGACACAAAGCGACTTTAGAAACAAATTCGATTTCGAAGCTTTAGGGTTGTGTGGGGAACAAACTTAAACTTCGCAGCCACAAACCTTACACATAAATATTTTAAATCGTTATATCTACCTACACGTGTACTTCTGGACACTATGTAAATGACAAGAACGCAGAATGACAGTTCTTATTCGTTGAAGCCACGTTTGTTTTTATATCTTCGTTTTTATAGATAGGTAACCCACTGCCTAATAAAGTGGAAGCGTACATAAACTAAAAACATCGAAGGAACGGGGTGCTAAAATCAGATCAGTGTGGTAAATGGAATAGATATTGATCTCCATCTTTTATTTTCGTGCATACATTTTGGTAACTTTTTTGAAAAGAAGTGTTTTATCTCGCTATGATGGCAGTTTTGTCCTATCTTATTGTCTGCATCATTAGCGCCAAATCAAGGATGCAAAAGTTACTCATTATTCTTACTTTGTTTGATACATTAGTTAGGTGCCTCTCTGTTATTTGTGTGTATGGAGGACTCCATATATCTAACACTACTATATTGCTAATTGTGTAGAAATCACACAGAAAGTTTCTTCACAATAAAAGAGAGACAGAAGATGATGTTTTCTATTTAGACCATTTTTGCTTATGTACATAAAATAACGGCAGCAGTTGAAATGATCTGTTCTCAACATGATTAAGGAGAAGTACAATAAGCATCATTTAATTTATATTACATTTTAACATAATAAAGTATGAAGATGCCTGTAAAAACGAGCGAAAAGCTTTATTGAAAAAATAATTAGTTTGCATATGATTTCGTAGTTTTAATACTAAAAAAACTTAAAAACATTTCATTTTACTTCCGGAACGTAAACTAATTAAGTATGTATTGTAATAGGGTCCATCTGGCGAATGGCTATTTTTATGTCATTTCGATGTGTATGAAAAAATAGCTCTCCCGTTTCCGCATGTCTATCATCTGTATTGATTACTAATTGTTGTCAAATTTTATAGATATTTTAGGAATATCCTGTAGATCATACAACGTTAACGTTCACCTTAAAATTTTGCTTGGTAACTGCTATTTAAATTTTATAAAATAATATACTCCTTCCTGTCTTGTACTTTATCAATCCACCTTGAGTTTTTACCCTAGGTCTATTAACATGAGAGCAATTATTAACTTTATGACTTGTTTTAATGAAATGAAAAAATAAATTATATAAAAATTTTATATAGGTACGTGCTTTTCGAACTAACTTAAGGCATTTTAGATCATTCAGCTGCTGCGGTTCTTCGGATCGACTTTTAAAGGCAACAGTCAAGACCAAAATTTTAGTTAGTACCACGTTGTTATATTTTCTCTGCATTGTTAAACCTTAAAATTCTTCAGGAAGAATATTTTACATAGAACATGATAAATTTCACCTTAATTTACATCGTTTAGAAAGAACTGGATGTAGAGTCGCTTACAGGATTCGTAAATTTTACAGTACGATCTTACACAAAAGCTCACAATTTAAGTTCATTGAAACAACATATCCAAACGAACGACGTTGTTTTTATTTAATATTTAATTTTAATAGTTTCTAATTTTCTACGTAATTGTTAATTGTGTGCGTATGTGTAACATTATATTAAAGTAATAACAATTTATTATCGCTGTTTTATTAATATGATGATGTAGTTGAGTTGTCGGATATTATGATTGTGCTACCAATACTGGAATCGACGAAGTGTAGAAAGCGACAACAAAAGAAGCACAAGTTTTAGCTCACCATGTAAATTACCAATATTGGAAACAGTGAAACAAAAAACCTTCCCCGTACATGATCTGATGCTATTTCGCCAAATGACCCTGCAACTAAACGCTTTGAAATATAATTCCCCTTATGTCGATGAAACTCCCAAAGCGGGAACAATTCAATTCAGTTGCAGGGGTTTCGTCTCGTTAAAATGTTTTTGTAGTTGAAGACCTTTGTTTTAGTCGTTATTCCAGCTCGCAAATTATGTTTTATTATACAAATGAGTTGATATTTTCAATTTACTGGAACAGTGTGATAGATTGTTTTAATTGTTTGTTCGTTTACAGATAAGTGACGATGAAAGTCATTGTTCACTGGCGCAATTATCACGAATCGGCCTAAGCGAAAATGCATGAGGCACCCGGTGCCATGCCTCGTTGAGGAACGTGTCATGGCAGGCCTGCTGCTACTGGGGTTGCTGGCCTGCGCCCCCGTGGCTTCTACTGAAATCCCCCTCCTCGTCCTTTCTGAACTTTGCTACTATCCTCTCAACATGGATTACATCGATCAAGAATTAGGAAACGTTACTCTGAAAATTCTGCCTCCAGAAGGTAAGTTCTTTTCACGAATCCGTTGAATTTAAAACTAAGTTTTATTTTAATCTCAAATAAGTGCATCTTCTAACATTGCAGACGCGAAAAGTCGTCTTTAAAAGATGCTATCATTAAATTTAAACTTATGGCCGGAGATTTTAGTCAGTCAAGTCTAATTACATATTTCGGCTGCATGTTGATAAAAATGAGATTATTCTTAAGGTCGTTGTTACACTGAGATGGTCAAGAAATAGCGCAATATCTTCATGTGATTCAGTAGTAAAAGGATTACTTATTTAAATGTGTTTAACGAATTTGTAGCACGAACAACGAACACTAACTGACTGTGTTTTTATAGTGTTGATTATCACCCTTCATATACATTTTGTTTTATTATAAATTTAATTTATTAATGAAAAAGTTCGATATTAGCTTTGATTGAATTTTTTTCTTTCAACATAATTAAAATATATATTCGAGAAATAATGAAAAGTAAACGGGTAGGTAATCAATGTTTTGTGTAGCCACTTTCAGTCACCGTTTTGTTATTGATTCTTATGGAACCGTTGCTATTTCTTCTCCCTTTTAGCGTAGCGTTCAATCTTATTTGAATATCAGTGGTATACTCAGCTTCAGATAATTACATTTATTAATAATATACTAGCTGTTGAATAATGATAAAATAGTACATTTGGATATTAGATAAGTGGTTCAGTGGTTGCTTGAGACGCAGCAGTAATATTATTATAGTATGCGTGTAAGCGAATTATATGGTTTGTTAAATACATATGTTTGCGAGTTTGTTAACTGAAAGAATTTAGAATTAAATTATTACTAACACAAAGTTTGTGTTATAAATCTTTTATCATTAGCTTAGTTATTGAAAAAAAAACAATTATTTTGTAACTGGCTTAGTGAATAGGTTCTATTTCCCAAAAAAGGACAGTCCAGTACAACATTTTTTAGACATGAGACCAGCCACGAACACTATGCTCGAAGAAAATTAACGTCGTCCCTACATGTCAATGTTATAATGAATAACCCCTCAGTTAGATACTATCACAACGCAGAGGAGATCGGTCCTTCCAAGTGCAAAGACGGTTGTAAATGTTGTTTCTCGATTCTATTTTGGAAATCCGTAGTAAAATACCATCCATGGAAGGTTATCTAATAGATAAAAACTACGACTCTCTGTGCATTGTACCTGAGGAATCTAGTATCATAAACTTGGACAAATACATAGCGAAATCGCATTTTTCTAGGCTTCATCATGAACATGGAGGTGTTATGTCCTTTCTCAACCCAAACATCGTCTCCAACTTTTTAAGAAATAGAAGTTTAATAGTAATAACGATTTATCGCTCGCCAAAGTGACTTTGACCAATTTATCGATGCACTGGTTAATGTTCTCAGTGTAATATATGGTAGATCTAAGTACATCACACTAGGTGGCGATTTTAACTTGCTATTTGGTACAGAAAAAGTGACTTGTGCGATTTTCTGTGTAGCTATGGTTTATATCTTCTTGTAAATCTTAAAACCCGTGGTAATAACACTCTTGATAATGTATTCACTAATATCAGTAGTGGAACAATGTGTCTATTACCTGCTAACGTCTCATTATCCGATCATGTGGGAATTTCTGTAAAATTTACTGTAATGAAGAACACTTATAATAACTCCACTGTTCCAAAATATGTAAAGCTGGTCATGCACGAGGGTAAGGTCCAGTTTTTTAAGTTATTAATACAGGATGTTTATAAGTTATGTGGAACACCACTGCAACTAAAAGCACTGTATAATGACTATAGATGTAAATATGCGCAATCTGTTAAAAAAGCTAGAATTAATGCTAACAGTAACTTTATTAGAAATCATCAAAATAACTCTAAAGCACTGTGGTCACTAATTCATAGAAGTAAACAGCAAATAATTTAAGAAACTTTTAATATTTTTTTTAGTAACACAGTTAACGATTTAGTAAATTTTTTGTCTGCTTCCAGCGTAGACCCAATTAAAATTGTATCATCTGTAAGTGCAATATCCGTATCTTTTTCATTCCATGCGGTCAGTGAAGTTCAAGTTCGTGATATTGTCAATAAGTTAAAAAACACAGATTAAATGTGGAAGTCAGTGAAGGATGTATTAATTCCACCCTTAATTTTAATAATAAAGACATACAGCGTGTCATTGAAAGGTACCTACAAAATAAAATCTGGAATTGGTTTCGAAGTATGGATCCTAAAAATTAAAAAAGTTCAGGTAAAAGTGTTCTCCTTTTAGAGATAAAAATTATTAAAATTTATGTCCAAATTCTTTGTACGCCTCTGATAAAAATATCATCTTTCGTTTCCATAGCAACATTTGGTCTTGACAAAAGTTTTATTGTTACAGTTGCTAGGATTTACTAAAATAAATTAATTTTACCTATTTATCCTTCAGTAGCGTCTAAAAAGGTTGGATAAAGGTTAATTTTCCCCTTATAATTTTGATAACACAAAATAAGTTTTTCAGATTTCTTAGACTTCGCGAAGAACTGTCCATTTTGTTGTATGTACCTTTCAATAACAGCCTGTATATAGCCAACTCAATTTTCCGAAATGTTTAAAAGTAGCTTCAATTACATCTATGTATAAAAAAGGGAATGTTAACGATGTAAACAATTACCTGCGATCTCGCTTTTATCTGTTCTTTCTAAGATTTTTGAAAGTCCGATACTAGATCAAATTGTCAAACACTTCACTTTTAATAACCTAATTTCAAACATTCAAAGGTCTGTCAAGGGTGTTCTTTGGAAAACGCTGCAGCTAAACTCTGGTTTCTGGTGAACAGGTTCTGTGTGAATAAAGATAAGTCGACTGATATTTTCAGTTTTAAAAGAGATTGTCCAGTCCTAAGCAATAATGAAGCAAATAAATTCTTAGGGATCATTACAGATCCACAGAAATTATGGCAAGGACACGGAAATTATGTAGCAAATAAAATTTCCAGAAATATGCATTTATTGAGAAACTTATCACTCTATATTGACTGTCAGATTTTAAAGATTGTTTATTACGCTTTAGTACAAGGACACCTAACTTACGGTATATTAATTTGGGCACATTGCTCCGCAATACACAACGAAAGGCGATTAGAATCATTGCAAATTTTGCATGCCGGGATGATTGCAAATCTTATTCCAAATCACTTTTATCATTGTTTTAAATTTTATTTTCTGGAAGTAGTGTCTTTCCCCACGTCCAAGTTTATTTTACGACTAGAACACAAGATCAGCTGATCGATCGATTGAATATTGGCGGATTTTCCGCTGTAGAAATGCTGGATATTACTGTTGTATATTATTTTTTAATAAATTACTGACAGCGATCAGCGAAGGTAGCTCTAAGGAAAATAAAAATATTTTTAACTGCAAATACATTCTATAATGGAAACGAATATTTAGAATACGATTTCAATTTGTAATTTATTGTAATAGCATATTCCTTGACCTATTTGTGTATTTTTTTTAATTTTGTTTTTTATGACGAATGTAATTTTGGTTTAACACAATAAAACATAACTCACTCACTCATTCACTCACTCCTTCACTCACTCACTCACTCACTCACTCACTCACTCCCTCACTCATTCATTCTCTCACTGACTCATTCGCCCACTCACTCACTCCTTCACTCACTCACTCGCTCACTCACTCACTCACTCACTCACTCACTCACTCACTCACTCACTCACTCACTCACTCACTCACTCACTCACTCACTCACTCACTCACTCACTCACTTTAGTGTCGGTTCACCTCTTTTGTGTTCAGGGTGTGGTAAAATTATCGTTTGAGCTAAAGTTTTTAGAGCCATGACAAATCTGTTAAAAAACAAAATTGTAATATAAATTATAAATTGTTTTCTTGTTAGTTATTATGTATTAAATAGTATGTACTAAATGTTGGTAGCCATTTTCTAAGAAGTTATCAAAATCAAACTTTTTTTAAAGTAGAAAGGTTACATTTTATTTTCTTGTTGTTTTAGAAATAGGTACCCGTTTCTTCATAGCTTAAATTCAAAACTTCCCAAGACAATTTTTATCTTATTACTATTTTATTGTATGTTGTGTCAACACTAAGTAGCAAAAGATAATCGGAATATATGTATCTTTATCATTAATTTGAATTTTTGTGCAGTCTACATCTTTGTAAAACTAAGTTCGACAGGAAATATGTAAAAATTAAAACCATAATCGTGCAAATTGTCATATTAACATTGTGTGGATGAAATTGTTTGCGCATCTTTTAAATTTTAAACGACTAAGAGAAGAGAAGAATGAAGTTTCTATGTTTCCTCAAAACAAAGTTATTCACGACTGAGTTGTGAGAAATATAATAAAAATTATCATTTCAGTTTTATTATTTGGTCTCCTAATCAGCTGTAACGATTAAATGTCATCTGTGTAACGTTAGCAGTAACAGCAGCAAATGTGTCTGTTTCGCAAACAAGTTTCTTTTTATATTAAATAATAGTATTACGTTTCATCTTAGTGCTATTGCTAGCATTTTAAAAGTTATGTAAAAATAGTTCAAGCATAACGGTTGTGGTTTTGATTGATATATTCTTTTTAGAAAAGTGATTTCAAAAGTTGAAACACTAGCGTCAAGCACACAGTTTATTTTGTACATGATATAATGGGAATGTTATTTTAATAATACTGAAGAACGAAAAGGCCATATATAACAAACTTTTGCAATTATTTTTCGACTGAGTTGATATTGTTACCTTGAACGGGTATTTAAAATCGGCGTGGGTAAAACTCAACAATTTATTTCTTAATAACTCGAATTTACACGACTGATTACTAGAGAGCGGATTTCTGTCGGGCTAGACAAGGCCAAACTCGGTACGGCTCGTACGGGATGGGAATTTATTGCAGTTACCGGCTGCACTTCGTTTATTTGAGATTAGAATAACGCTGCTTCGTTGCACTCTGCTGTTAATTCCAGTTCTCATTTATTTAGCCGTTTGATT